GAGAGCCTATTATCATCATCATTACAGAAAGAAAACAGCCATTAGAAACTAACCAGAACATAAGCCTTCTTTCAATTAATTTTCATAAGTAGAGATAAATCTTGAATTTCTAATTAAAAATCAATGTACACAAAGCCAAATATTGGAGCCAGCAGAGAACTTACCTAATTGTTACACTGTGTTCCCCTTGAGCCATTTGACATACCTGGCTAGCTTTCTATTTTCACCTCAACCAAACCTTAGATGAAGACTAATCTTTCCCCAGAGAAACTAGATGTCCTCAAATCTGCTGATGGCTCATAATGGCATCCCTGATGCACACATCATTTGAACATCCCTTTGGGGTTAAAGGTCTGACTAGTACACTGAATGGGAGAGGATTTTCAACTCAAACAGGACCAAGAAGGAGAACCTCCAGAATTCCTAGGCCTTGATCCAAACATGAACGGAAGAAGCAGGCCTCAAGAGGTGATTAAGTAAACTAGAAGGTGGAAGTGGGGTGCTGATGAAGGGAGCAGGCAGATGGGCTAAGTTCTAGAATGAATGAGGCAGATAGGAAGTTCCGGGGCAGCTAAAGGCACTGACCTTCAGATTTCCGGGTGTTACAAAGGCCTGGTGATCCACAACAGGCTGAGAGCAGCAGCTCCCCGAAGCCGCCAACAGGCACATTCAGTTCCGTCAGCCCGGACTCAGCCTGCCAGTGCCGCAAACAAACACACACATTCTTCCCTGAGCTGACGGCTCACACAACACAGCCTCTCCACAGGGCCTGTTTATTTAAGAAACCAGATGCTTTGATGTTGGGGTAGAAGTTGGGAAGTTATGTACAAAGAAGTAGTTAGTGACAGGAGCAGAGGGAGAAGAGAGCATGAGCAACAGTTCCTGGCTTCACTAATCCTAGGTTTAAAAAGTTTTCAGGAATTTGTCGAATGGCTGTACACAGGAATGAGGAGTAAGGAAATTATGTCAGCCACCATCCTGAAACTGTGGCCAAGGCATTTCAACTGTTTCTTTAAGACAAAGTTCCATGCCTACCCTCAAAGGGGTGTTTATAGGGAGAGTGCTTTGAAGCAACCCAACTTAGCAACTAACATTAATAAAATCTTTGAGGCCTGCTCAATTTCTCTCATATACAAATGTTATACATGTTGTGAACACTCCCAGCACTGGAAGGAAAGATTCAGTTAAAAGTGTAGCCTGAAAACAGTTTTGTGTTAAAGGCAAAAAGAAGACCACTGAACCTCAGAAAATAGCACTTATGAACAATCCCTGAAAATAACAGCTTTTTAGTCAGTGCTAACTAGGTGTCAGACATTGTTTTAATGAGTTAATGTATTTTACACATACATTAATTTATTTCTCACAACCAGCAGATTAGGAACTAAGACACAGAGAGGGCTTAAGTCATTTACCCAAGATAACACAGCTAATCGGGATAGCCAGGAATCAAATGCTGACAGGCTGGCCTCAAAGTCTGTCCCATGCTCTTCTGCCTTTCCATGGCATGTCACACCCTCAGATCAAAATTAGGAAGTTTGGTTTTGGATAAAGTAGAAGTAGTTGTCTTTTTTCTTATTTTCTTGTCATTCCTTTTGTCTTCTGTTTTTAGTAATGGCCAGTATTTTGATTTCCACTTTCTTTCTTAAGAGTCTCTTATATAACACTATAGTTTGAAAAAGCCTTTCCCTCTCTTCCCTCAAATCCCAAAATAGAGTACTTAATCATTGACTTCTACATGAAAAATATATGCTGTGCAAGATAATCCCTAAATAGATTTGAAACAGACTTAAATTCAAGATTGAAAAGAAGGAATACGAAAGGAAACCTAGAGAGAAACAGGGAGGCCTAGGCAAAGAGAATAATCTGTTGCTTTCTTAAGAAAGCAAATAAATTAGTTAAAATAATGTGTATGTTAAAATACATTAGTCATATGCTAATACATTCTCATGAGCCATAGAAACAGGTCTAGGAAGCTTGCTAAAACCTTTGAGGCTTTAATTCTCCAGTCTGAATTATCTTTTCTTTGTAAATTGGTAATCCCACCCAACACCAAATCTGGGCCCTTGGAGGGCATTCACATACATGGATTATATAAATTAATGTGGCTTGAAAATAACAACATCAAGTTATAAGAAATGAGAACCAAGAACTTTTTATTTTTCTTGGGAATTGAATTCTGGAATATTATATAGGCAAAACTACTCTAAATGGCACTTTTCTTTCCTAGCTATACAAAAGTATACCATGTGCTAAAAAGTCATGATGATACTTTAATTTTGCACCATTTACAAAGGATCCCAGAATACTAGATCTCTTCAGTACTGTTCAGGATGATTTAATATGACTTCTAAAAATATAGAATTGAAAAGCCAAACAGACCATTACGTAACAATTCTTGATCAAGGAAGTGGAATCCTTTTTTTCTTTTTGGTACTGAGGATTGAACCCAGGGGTGCTTTATCACTGTTCCCAGTCTTTTTTTTTTTTTTGAGACAGGGTCTCTCAAAGTTGCTAGTTGCTGAGGCTGGCCTCAGACTTGTGATTCTCCTGCCACAGTTTCCAGAGTTGGTGGAATTAAAGGTGTGTGTCATGGCACCCAGCCAAAGGCTCCCCTTTTTTAACCAGATACACAAATTACAAAAAGACTGAGATCTCTGAAGAAGAGCTGGATGAGTAACAACTGCAAAAATAGCTATTTTAAATAAGGTTACTGAAAAGGACTGAAGGAAAAAAAGCCAAAAAAAAAAAAAAATTAGAAACAGCAGCTAAATAAAATGTAAGAAATAGAGGGAAATTAAAGAAAACTAAAGAACACATGGACTTTGAAGAATGAATGGTTTTAGCTCTCTCTGAGCCAGTTTCCACAACCTCTTGCTTTGGAATCAATATATTATAAATGCTATAGCAATCTGAATTAATCAGAAACTGTTGACTAAAGAATAAATCCAAAAGTAGCAGCAGATCTAAAGATAGGTCAACCACAAAAGAAGAATCTGAAAAATGGAGTGAGAATGCTATGTCTGGCTGGCCCAAGGAAGTTGTGGTCCTCAAATAAATTAAGCATGTCTTGTGAAGTCTTTCTCAACCCCCCACCATGAAAAAGAAGTGTACATAATTAGTTTTTTTTCTCTCATCAAATAGGAAGGTTCCCCAAAACTCATTCCATCCTATCTGTATCCAACCAGCCCTATCCTTCAGCACTAGCTTCCCTACCTAAACACAGCTGCTGCTTGGACTGCTTTATAATGTACACATTTTCCTTAAATACTTGTGCCTTAACTTCAAGAGACTCATGCCCCCAGATCTGAGACCAAGAGTGGTCCAGAAAGATAGGCCAAGAAGATGCGGTGGCTCAGCTGATACTGAAACGGAATGCGGTAAAACAAGGAAAAGTGCAGACCCAGAACATCAGCCACCCATCTGTCTCCATGTGCAATTCTCTTGGAAAGAAGCAAGGGTAAAGGAGAAAATACATTGAGTTTAAAATACATTTTGCAAATGTAGGATGTAAGAATTGTTAATCTTAAAAAAAAATGAGGAAAATGCCCAAATTGTACTTAAGCAAGAGCCAGTACTTTCTTAAAATTTTCTCAATCAGTAGTGTGTCAAAGGTTGAGCTACTGGTCCCCACAGACAGAAATGCCACAATTTTGAAAGTCTTTTTTGACCAGGAACTGGCTTAAAACAGAATATCTGTGAAGTGTTTCTTAGCTATTGGAAATCTTGTGGCAACACAATACAGATATCCTTAGCAGAGTTCAATACCAGAATGGACGGTCAATTTTGAAGAGAGATCACATAAATAATATTGTGACTGAACTGGGCATGGTGGTGCATGCCTTTAAACCCAGCTACTTGGGAGGCTGAGGCAGGAGGATCATAAGTTCAGGCCAGTTTCAGCAACTCACTGAGACCTTGTCTCAAAATAAAATAGAAAGGGCTGGGAATGTAGCTCAGTGGTGGAGTATGAGTGGGCTCAACCCCATACTGCAAAATGATGATGAAGAAGAAGAATGTGACTTAACAAGGGCTGGTGGCTGAATACACATAGAAGTCAATGCTATGGCACCTGTTTTTGCAAAGAGAAAAATGTTTACAGAAAAAGGAAACAGAAGGATTCTCATATCTGTCTCCCTGATCTGCCTGTAGCAAGGAATTCAAGCAGCCCCGGGTGTAGGGGGAAACAGAGACATGATTGGTTGTGACTCAGAATCTTGGTGGAACAGTTTGTACCCAGGAAGTCAATCCAGGTGGAACTTGTGGATAATTCTAGATTGTCTTGCAGCTGGTGAAGGCGTCCCTCACTTCTAATATAGGTCTGAGAGACCCTATTTCTCAAGTTCTACTCATGGGACATTTGGTTCTGCCAGCCTCTCAAGGTCATTTGGGGTCAAGTTCTAGGGTTCTGCGCCTGCATCCTGAAAAACAACTTGAACAATTTTTAGGAGCAAGGAAGTTGTTTTATAGCTGTTTCAATGTCATCTAATTTCCATGCTTGTTCCTTTAACTATTAAAATACACGCAGTGACCTAACAACTGCTTTGGGATTTCACCACTGCCTCGCCACCCTGAAAGTACTGATCCAGAGAGGACACACCTCTGCTTCTGCGCAGCCCAACTTCTGCAAGCACTTAAGAGGTAATTATTCCTCCAGCTTTCTGGTCGGTGTTACTGGATCTGATTATTTATACAGACAGGAAACAACGACGCTCAAGATATATTTTGACAACTTAAAAAAAAAAAAAAAAGAATGCCATGAAAGTCTAAGATTGTCTCCCCTGTGACGAAACACAGCCCCGCGGGCCGCAGCCCAAGCCGACTCCGCCCGCCGCAGTTTCCGAGCCGCAGCTGGGGGTCCCCTGCTCCGCGGAGCCTCGCCGCGCGCTAGCAGGGAAGCCCGACAGGAAGCGGGGCCGGCTACGCCAGCGGACCGGCAGCCGCGAGCGGCCAGGGGCGGCACCTCACAGTCCGGGCGACGCCCGGGCCCGGCGCCCGCTCACCTGGTGCGTGTTGTTGGCTAGCTTCGCGACGAAGTCTGAGACCCGAACGCAGTCCTCGTCCTCGCCGGGCGCGCTGCGGCGCCAACGGCCGACGCGGGGGATCGGGCCCCCGGCCGCGGCCGCGCGCAGCCCCCAGCTCACTCCGACGGGGCCGGACCAGCGCAGCAGAGGCGCAGCCGGCGGCGGCGGTGCGTCCAGCCGGTCCTGGCCGAGGGTCGCCGGCGGCAGCAGCTGCAGGAAGAGGAGGAGGCCGAGGCCGTGGGGCCAGCGCGAGAGGCCGTCCGCAGCTCCCCGGGGCCGCTCCATCGCCGCCGAATGCCGACGCCGCTGACACCTGCCACCCGGCGCGCCCGCCCACCCCCGCCGGCGCTGCGCCACACCCCCGAGCCCGAGCCTGGCGCTCCTTGGATACGCGCAGCCGGGCCTCTCCGCCCGCATAGGCTGGCCGCCTGTCCTTCTTCCCTGGCCCACTCCTCATTGGCTCGCGTCGTCTCCGGCTTCGGGGGTCCTGGATTCGGATGCCAAGATGCGGGACTGATTGGCTGGAACGTGGCAGAGAAGGCTGAGGTCATTCCCCACCCTCGCACGGCGTCTCCGGGCTCCGGCTTCCAGAGTTCGCGTAGGAGCTCTCCCCACCTTCCCGCGAAGCCCCCAGCTCCGCGGTGCTCCGACTCCTTGCTGCTCCTCTGACGCCCTCAAATTGGGGCTGGGCAATTCCCCCCTTTCCCCCAGAAACACTCCTAAAATTCCCCTGGTTGAGGCAGCGCTGGGAAATCTCCTCAGGGAATCCCTCAACTCGCTCAGCTGGAAAAGGGGGCTTCGTCAGGAACTGGTGCTTCAGGTTTAACCCGGGCTCACTGCTGCGCCCATTGTCTGCTGAAGCTGCAAACTTGCTGACAAGGTGAATGGGAACTGGTGTGGGCCAAATCCTACCGAGGCAGATAGAAGGACACCCGTGACTCACGCAAGCCTCAAGAAAAGTCTTTCCACCACGTTTGGCCTCACTGGCCCCTCCTTTTCTGCAGGGAGGTAGGCCAAAGGCGGAATTATTTATTGGTTTTCCTGGACTTCGAACGTTGCTTAGGCATCAAGGGTAGATAAAAAGGGAAAAGAGAATTGCCCGAGGCCTACTTTATACATGATCATTTCATATATGCATATTTATTTACCAAAGTGCCTCAACCCTGCAGTGAGTGCATTGAATAAGTTTGGTTCCAGAATAAGAGTCCTGTATGGCACCCCTCCTCCGATAAATAAAACCCCTACACTGTTCCCCTTACCACAGCTTCTTTACCACAAAAACTTGCGCACACAACTTCTACAACATGCAGCACAGGTAAAACCAGTTCTGAATCCTTAACCTTACGGACTCCATTCTTTTTAAATGCTAGAAGTTGTTCAGTAGAAAAGGTAACAAATAGATTAAAAATATGCAAAACGTTACACCCAAAGAAATCCACCAAAAATTTCTTTAAGCTGGCAGTAAACCCAGATGAAACTATAGTCATTGGAGAGCAAAATGCTGCAGTGCACCCAACCCAAAATAAAAATCAAGATATTGGTCAAGTTAACTTGCAAACAAAACATCTTCCAATTTACATTTTTCCCCCAAACAACCAGAGTGAGAAGTGAAAAGTTTTTGAATGTCATCAGGACAGGATGACAATCAGCAGAATGTCCTTCAAGTTCTCAGCTACTGGACTGACAAGATATAGCTGATGAAAACTGGTGAACAATTTGTACCTTTTCTGTAACTATTATGTGTCAGATTATTTTTTAAAATAGATTAATTTTTAATCTATGCCAACTATGGAATAGATCACAAGACAGTCAGTTCCAGTAGCATGTGATTAGTTGGAGGGAGAAGAGGGGCTATAAACGAATATTTCTTTGTTTGGGTGACAAAGATGAATGGTCTATTGTCTTACGTCTGAAAAGAAGTAAACTCAACAGTGCCATCTCCTGGAAAAATTACCAAATATACTTTTAAACTATTACATTTGTATTACCTGTGCTTTCTAATGTGCTGCTTTTACTTACATGTCTACAGTAGATATTTCCTCAAACTGCATCACTGCAGGCGGCATGGTAATTTGCATTTACACTTTGGTAAATAAATATGCATCTATGAAATGATTATGTAAAAAGTAGGCCTCGGGCAATTCTCTTTTCCCTTTTTATCTACCCTTGATGCCTAATATGTATGAAATTTACTCTTTTCTCAAATAATAGGCTAAGGCAGTTGAAAGGGAAAATCATTGCAAGTTGAAGCTGAGAGTTAGGCTAAGAGCTACTCCTTAATGTTTACTTTCTCTACACAATGCACATGATTCAAAAACATAACTCACCTCTCCAAAGCTGCATGTGCTTTATACATTTCAGCATTAACCTACAGTGTTACAAGGGAATATAATTTATTTCCTGGTTCTTCACACTAGAAGTAAATTTATATGAAGACCATAGATAGCACTTTCCCAGATCCCCAATGCTTAATACATTACTTGGCATATTGAAGGCGATTCTCAATAAATGTGTTAAATGAATAAATGAAAGTTGAAATAGGATATTTCAAAGCTACTTCCTATTAGGGTTTAATAAAACTAAGTGATATGAGCTAAATTAGTCTCAGAATCTTAATAAAACAATAGGATTAAAATCGCCAGAACAGTCTAGAACTTTGGTGATAATATACTCTAGTTCTGTACTTTCCTTGTGTAGATCTAGGCCAAAACTTTCTTCCAAATACCTCCTGTTATTGTAGTTTCCAAATGCATATGAAGTTTTTTTTTCCCCTGCAACCACAGTAGGAATTTCATATGTATTCTGCTTACTCAAGTCACTATTTTCACATGAGTATGACTTCCTAATGAATACAGAGCCCAGCAAGTCATCCTGGGGTCCCCATTAGTGAATTTCAATCAATTTTGCATCATTTACATGTGAGTTAGCTAAACTGCACATAAGTGCATGTACATTTCAAATCTCTCTGAGATTTCCCTATTATCCAAGAGCTAGTGATATGAAACCAGAAAATGAGATCAAGTCAGATTCCAGTTCATGGACACACAGCCTTAGATTCTATATCTGTTAGCTAGTAACAATGATACTTATTTGCTATTGTTACATTTGAGGGTCAAATAGAATGATTCTTTAAACAATCTTAGCCACTCATATGATGGCAGCTCTAATGAGGGAAGTTCACAGTGCATTCCAAAGTCTAATGTAAACCACTTCTGAATTTTACAATTCTTTTACTGATATGGCTGAGATCTGTAAATGATTGCCGTTGAGGCCAAGATCATGAATTTAATTTTTAAGTTTCTTTTTTTATTTTTTTTTATTTTTTGGTACCAGGGATTGAATTCAGGAACACTCAGCTACTGAACCACATCCCCAGCCCTATTTTTCTTTTTTTTTTTTGGTCAATGTACCTTTATCTTTATTTATTTACTGTTAGAGTCTGTAAACAAGTCAAAATAACACCTGGCATTTAGCCAGGGGAATGTTAGAGTTCGTAAACAAGTCTGGATGGTGCCTGGCAAAATGCCAGAGGGAGTGGTTTGAGAAGTAACAAAAGCGAGCCATTAAGTGTGGAGATTCCTTATTGGTTGACTGATGTATCTAGTTTATGCTAATTAGATAAGCTCTGTGGAATGTATAAATACTGCTCCTGTCCTGCAATAAACGGCTCCTACTCCTGCTGTATCAACGTACACAAGTTATTCGTCACCCCCCTGGTTAGTTTGCTGCAGCCAGCCGGCCTTCTACAGATGGTGGCCCGTTACGGGGAGCCCCGGGACACTCAGGGGTAAGTGACGAAAAAAAAAAAAAAAAAAAAAGCTGCCCGTCCATAGATAGGACAGGAGCAAATCTGCTTGTCCCTAGGCAGATAGGGCGAGAGGAAAAATGGTCATTTCAAAAAAATGGAAAAGATTGATACAGTATGTTTGTGTCTTGTTTTGTCTCAGTGTATTGTATTGTTTTTGTGCTGAAAATATGGAAGGGGTGAAAAGTAAATTACTAAGGGAAGGAAGCACCCCAGTGGAACCAAGAGCAGTTAGGGCATGTGTTGATAAGAGCCCAGGAACTCTAGTCAGAAAGAAAAAGAAAGTTCAGAAGAAGAAAGATTATCAGGAAAAAAGTTGCAGCAAAAGGCTATTACTGAATACTTTCATTACCGGAGGGTGCGAGAATCGGCGGCGGCTGCCACATGCGTAAGCCGTCATGGCGCAGCAAGGATTTTCCAAGTGGCAGTTGCCGGCTCTTCCCTGCCCCCCTGCCCACGGAGCCGGACGCCACTGCGAGAGCCCAAATCCAGGCACAGTCTCGCAGGCTCTTGCTCCCTGTGCCCAGTAGCAGTTTGAGTCTGGGATACTCCCCAGGGCCATCTGGGGCTGCCGGGAGACTACAGTCAGCAGAAGACACTACTGGTGTCCCTGATGTTTGGTCATTTTCAATGCCAATAACTAAACTACAGTGGTTCTCCCACACTTGAAAGCTAATGAGTAATGAGCACCATTAAGGCTTATTTCAAATGTAAAAAACCTTGAGATAATGTACTAAATTGTTCAGAAGGTTGTTTTCTTAGTGGAATGCTACAGGATTTTCTTTAGCCATCCGTAGTTCCTGCCTTCATCCCAGTGCCGGTGAGGACGAGGATGGAAGAATTTCCAGTGTTGCTGAAAACTGGAGGAGACTTCGGCTGAGAACCGGACGAGACTTCAGATCAAGCTAGCTGCCTGCAGAACTTACCTGGACTGTGATTTAAGCTAGCTGCCTGCAGAACTTACCTGGACTGTGATTTACCTGGACTGTGAGTTAATCTATTGAGACACTACTTTACCTGGACTGAGACAACAAACTGTAATCTACAACAAATTGTAACTAGGTATCTTTGCTAACGGTGTCATTGCTGGTATAATTTTTCCAAGGGCTTCTTGCATGGAGCCATCAAGTGGCTTGGTATTGTGGCATTTTGTATCCTCCCTTTCTGTTTGTAGCAGGTTATTTATGGTGTTTCTCTAAAAACCACTATGGTCGTTATTTAAATTAAACAAAAGGGGGAAATGTTAGAGTCTGTAAACAAGTCAAAATAACACCTGGCATTTAGCCAGGGGAATGTTAGAGTTCGTAAACAAGTCTGGATGGTGCCTGGCAAAATGCCAGAGGGAGTGGTTTGAGAAGTAACAAAAGCGAGCCATTAAGTGTGGAGATTCCTTATTGGTTGACTGATGTATCTAGTTTATGCTAATTAGATAAGCTCTGTGGAATGTATAAATACTGCTCCTGTCCTGCAATAAACGGCTCCTACTCCTGCTGTATCAACGTACACAAGTTATTCGTCACCCC